CTTAGAAATCATTTTAAATGTCTATTTACAAAGTAATTGTGCATTTTGATCTTCTGTCTGAATGAGGAGTAGTGATGTCGGTCAAAAATCAGAAAGCAAGTTATTAGAACGAAGTGTCTTGTTTTTAAATCTAGCAGACACTAAAGAAGAAGCTAGCATCTGCGTTTGTCTCACTTCGCCATAACATTCCTCTGTCTGTACTAACCGTTCGTAAACATTCCTGCAGCCTCTCTTGACTTTTTATAACCCTCTGACATCACTGAAACACCCCCCCTGCTGGTTGTTTCAACCAATCAGGAAGTACCAAGTGACCGGAAGTGAGGACTCTTTAAAAAGTCAACACTTCCTGGAACTATAGAGTCTTTGACCGGAGTCTTCCTAGAGTCTTCCTAGGGTCTTCCTAGAGTCTTTCAGCGGAGTCTTCCACTTCTGAGTGGAACTTCGGACTGAGTCTTCTGGCGGTCTTCCTGCAGTTGAGTCTTTCTTGGGACTATGGAGTCTTCCGCTTCTGAGTGGAGTCTCTGACTGGAGTCTTCTTGAGAGTTCCTAAGGAACTTTCAGATTTAATCAATAGCTGATGGATTTGACCGTGAGACGAGGGTCCGTCCATCCCAGCTGGAGTCACAGCGCCTCGCTGTGAACTCACCCGGGCGTAACGCCCTACAACTTCGAAGGAAGCTTGTTCTGTTGAACGGAGTAAACCACCCGACTTCTGACGATCACCAGCCACCCTGACCGGAGACGCTGTAAAGGTAGCGTGCATAGGGACATCTAGGCCGGAGCTGATCCATCATCTGCAAAGGTAAAGAGACGTCACAAGTTGCTACGCACTAAGTGGACCGGGGATTTGAGCTGGTGTTGAAAGAAGCGTGCTAATTATGGTCAACAAAACATACATCTTCCTTCATCCATTTTCCTTTTGAACTTATCTATTCTTTCCCTCAAACTTCTATTTTGCCAGTAATCTAGATGCCTCCATCAGTAATGTTCTGTTGTCTTGTTAGTAAAGAAGCGTGCCAAGTTTTTATTAATCAGAAACAGATCAAGCAAATCAATGTGTACATGTTTTGATGTTAAATTTTGATTCTGTTAAATAAATGACAGCATTTATTCTGATGGGTCAAAGAAAAATTGGCGTCTCATGTCACAGATTAAACAATCCTCACAGTTATCTCGGTCACATGGCATTAATTTAACTCGAAAAAAAAAGAATCCGTTATATTTAAATAATTAATATTATTCGTGCTTGAACTAGCTTTAAGAATAATTAATTAGTAGTGAAGCTACAGCAAAGCTGTCCCCTTATTTCACTACAGTGCCATCTGTAGCGGTATCATGAAGATTTAGCACCTGAACCCCATTGATGCCAACAATTCTGGAAACTTTTCATGTTCCACATCAGAGAATCTCAGAGCCAACATCAGAGTGTCCTTCAGCTGTCAGCAGCGCTGCACATGTTTCATGTTTCACTGACCTTCTTAAATGATCAGAAAATAAAAATAACCAGACAAATTGCATTTCCTGTGAAAATGCAGTGTGAATGTTGCTGTAAAACCTGTTGAAAAAGAGCTGAAATTAGCTTAAAACATGCTGAAATGGAAGAATAAGCCTAACTTAGTAGAAGAAAGCATAAAGAACACAAGTTTGCAGAATTAGGTTTATATAAGCAGAAACAATCACAAAGTATAAGTTTTATAACTTCAAGGCTCGACTACTGCAATTCCCTATATGCAGGAATCTCCCAATCCTCCATTAGATGCCTGCAATTGGTCCAAAATGCTGCAGCTCGACTTTTAACCAACACCTCCAGACATGAGCACATCGCCCCTGTTTTATTTTCTCTCCACTGGCTTCCAGTCGATTTTAGAATTAAATTTAAAATGTTATTATTCACTTTTAAAGCTATCAATGGTCTTGCCCCACTATATTTGACCAATCTTGTAGCTGTCCGTGAATATAGGAGAACACTGAGATCATCTAATACATTTCTACTCTCTGTCCCAAAATCCAACTACAAACGATGGGGTGACCGGGTCTGTTCGGTTGTCGCACCCAGACTCTCGAACCAGCTACCTCAGGACTTGCGCTCCATCACTGATATGGAACATTTTAAATCTAATCTTAAAACCTTTTTATTAAGGCAGGCTTTTAATACCTAGTAGGTCTTTGACAATCTTGCTATGTTTTAATTGTTTTAGTTTTTAACTTGGCTGCTGGAAAGGGCTCTATAAATAAAGTTTGATTGATTGATTGATTGAGTAGGAATATAGCTAAAAAAAGCTGAAATTAGAAAAAAATAGCTGAAAGTAGCTGAAAAGGTAGATTGAAGTTTAAACTACCAGTATGAATTGGAAGGAGCTGAAATGAGCTAACAAAAATGTGGACTTAGTTGAAAAAGATAAATTTAGCACAAAACAGCTGAAACAGAAAAGGCTGAAACTTGCAGAAATCAGCTGAAAGGAGCATAACAAGCTGAAATTAACAGAAAGGATTTAGAAGAATCACAGGAATGTTATAGGTATCAGAAAGGATCACAAAACAGCTGAAATTAGCAGAAAGTATCTAAAAAAGTTAAATCTGGACCTCTGGACATTGTTGTGGATAGAATACCACGTCGTGTTCAAAACGGCGGAGGCGTCGCCCTTCGTATAAAAGATTTATTTGACACAACATGGGTTACAGATATTCAGAGACAAACAGTTACATTAATAAGATATATGCATATAAATGGAGCATTAAGAACAAACCGCCTCCTACGTGCCTCTCTGAAAATGCTCAGTGCGCGTGCGTCATTCCCGGCCTTTTATCCCCGTCTGAGAAGGCTAGCTTCCTGATTGGTTCAGCTTCTGTCGCTATGGTTACGACGTAGCCCGCCCCCTCAAGGACGTTACGTCTATATTTCAGATAAGTTTTGGTTCGGCTTTTGTTTAAAGTTTAACTTGCTATTATACTTTAGGGATATAAAATGATTCGTGTCTAAATTGTTTATGCGTAATAATTAATAACTATTAATTATTACCTATCTCCTGGGTGTTAATTCACTATCTGTTGGAGGTCTGGTGATTCTGTTTTTAAGGCAGAATCATCTTAGTTTCTGTGTCTGCGTTTAAAACCGTTAACACTTGTTTGTTTAACATGATTATACCTTAGTGATAACACTGATTTGAAATAGTTGTTTATTTCTAGGAATAATTATATTATCTAACTTATGTTCGTGTTTTTATTTGGATCATGGTTATACTCTTAATTTGATTTTACTTAGTCAA